GCAGTGGCTGGCAGCACACAGCTTGCAGTGCAGTGGATATTTTGTGTCTTGCAGCTGGAGCTTTGATACTATAACCAGGCTTCCTTTGTTCCATATGAATACAAGCTAATAAATGTAGGGAATTCCATTTGGTATTCAATTAAGAGGTCTCTTGACTCCTGTTATTAAAGTGTATAACTATTAGGCGTAAAATTAAAGTTGAACAGTTCAGCTCTTTTTTGACATTGTAACACTGCCTGAAAAATCGTGATGCAAAACGTAGTCAAACGTCATCCTTTAAAGCCCCACACAAATGAAAAGAGATTTTGAAAGGAAAAGGGTAAATATCCAAAGCTTGGTCATTTACTAATGACATAACGCATAATGTTAGGAGCATATTACTCTCCTCATGCAAATACATCAACCATTTTGTTGAACACAAGATATTACAGTGATTTTAACAGAGAGCTACAAGATTATTATTGCTAAAGCTTCAATGAAGGGGACAATTAAAGCATTAAGCATTTTTAAGGTTTTAAAGTGACTTTCAGCCATAAACTAGAAAATAATATATGAAATCAATACACTGTAATTGAAAGGAAATTGAATTCGTCTTTATTTTTTAATCCCTCCAAATTTTTCCTAGACTGCCAGACCATGGGAGATAGTGAATCTTGTTTTGCCATCAGCAATATGACTTTCTATAAATCTTATGTGTTGTAGAGGTCACTTTTATTATTTTTTACTTAGAAAGTGCTCAGCTGAATAGATAGCATTATAAGATTCTGTGTGCATTATCTTTATTAGTGTCTAGCTTCATTGTTTAAAAAAAGGGGGGAGTGGAGAAACAAAAACAAAAACACAACCAGACAGGAACAACCTTCTCCACATATCCAGAGAAATCAGGTTAATAGAACTTCTAACAATGAAACCAAAGAAGTTGTTAGATAAGCTTCACACTTGAACTTAAATGAAATTCTTCTAGGTTTTTTTTTTTAATCAAACACTCTACCTATCAATCTTGCTATGCTGCAAGGAAGATGACCTGTTGTAGATACAAATTCAATTTGAATGTGTGAACCTAACTCATTTATACTGCTTATTATTGGAAGAAGCTATTACAATCAAACAGAAAAGCTTAAAGGGAACCTCAGGGAGATAAGTGGCTATGAACAGAAATTAAGGAATCTTAAAACTTGAAAAATCCTTCAAAAAGATGTGAATAATCAAAATTTTCTCTCTGTGTTGCTATTGTTTATTTCCCTATTTATATCTGGTATACATTTTGAGAAATATCAACAGACCTTAAGATAAATGAAATGTGTCCCACACTTATCTTTAGTAATTTGGTAACACAGAGTAGAGACTTCCAGAAATATTTTTGAGAATCTCTTGTCCATTTCATTTTTCTACTTTCCTTATTCTACTCAATGCCTCTTGACTCTATAAGAGGGTAAAAGATAACACAGTAGAAGGAGCACAACCTTTCAATCCTCAGTTTCCCCTTCTGCAAAATGGAGATAATAATGTTGCCTTTCTCATTATATTCTTTTGGGAGGTAAGCTAATTACTATAATTAAAGACCTCAGAGGATTGACTAATACTATGCACTATGTACATGTTATGATTTTTTTTATAAAAATGATGATGATTTGCCTTTTCAATTGTTTTGCCAAAATGAATTCACCAGCTGCTATTTTGAGGCAACTACTTAACAATTCTGAGCCTTAATATTTTGACCAAAAATAGGAATAAAAATTTCCTACCAACCTCAAATAGATCATATTTATGAAAAAAATCATAAGTTATAAAACAGGACTGCAATTGAAAGCACTGAATCTGGACTTTTAAAAGCAATAGTTTAAATCCTAGTTTCATCTCTTAGTAGTTATGTGACTTTAGATGAGCTCTTAGTTTCTATGTTTATAAAATAATGATTGTAACAACACATTCTTATAAAGTTATTCTAAGGCTTAAATGAGATCAAGTATAAGGAGCTCAGTATCATGGCTAATACTTAGAAATTATTCCAAAAAATATAAAAGAAGTACTTCTGTTCAATATAAGAAACAAGTATTATTATAATTTTTGATTGATTTGTTTGCGTTTTTGTTTGTTTTAAAGATTATGTTTATTTATTCATGAGACACACAGAGAGAGAGAGAGAGAGGCAGAGACACAGGCAGAGGGAGAAGCAGGCTCCATGCAGGGAGCCTGACATGGGACTCCATCCCGGATCTCCAGGATCACACCCTGGGCCGAAGACAGTGCTAAACCACTGAGCCACTTGGGCTGCCCTGATTTCTTTGTTATATCTCATTTTGCTATGTCACAAGTGGATATATTTTATTTCTAGATTTCTAGATCATCTGTATTCTAAACTTTCTCTACCTCAAAATTCAGTCTCTGAAATTCCTGGCTCTTGGTGTCCATAGCTAATATTCAGCTAACTTTGTTAGAGTTTGTACATTGGAAGAACTGAATTAAGTGAAAGGTATTACCAATCCTAAAATCTCAACTGCTGTTACGATGAACAGAAACAACTTTACAAGTGCTATGATCAAAGGGCATGTGAGTCAAATAGCAAGAAAAGGGGAGTGAAGAGAGATAGAAAATAGAAATGGGAAAAACCATCAGGCAGAGGAGAAAATGATGTAATATATATGAGAGAGGATTTGGCCAAATATTTTTTTAAAGTGAGAAGAAACAAATATGTACACATCATATGTGTATATAAATGTTTAAGTTACTGTTCAGGTCTGTAGACAAATGTTTTATTATTATTTTTTAAAGCCCTAAATGTCTCAGTGCCTTAGAATTTTTAGAGCATGGATTATATTTAATTGTGTTTAAAGGAAGACATAGTTAAGAAGCTGGAAATTATATATTTTTAAATGTATGTACAGAGCATTGTTGAAACAAACTGCTCAGCGGGATCCCTGGGTGGCGCAGTGGTTTGGCGCTTGCCTTTGGCCCAGGGCGCGATCCTGGAGACCCGGGATCGAATCCCACGTCGGGCTCCCTGTGCATGGAGCCTGCTTCTCCCTCTGCCTGTGTCTCTGCCTCTCTCTATCTCTCTGTGACTATCATAAATAAATAAAAATCAAAAAAAAAAAAAGAAACAAACTGCTCAGCAAGTTTTATTGTTACTCCAGTAGTAAATATTTTGACTAGTCAATACACCAAAATGCTATGGTCAAGTCAGCATTAATAGATGTCACTTATTTAGGCAAACTGACTGTAGATTTACCAAGGAAGACAAAAAAAAAAAAAAGAAATCCTAGTATTTACTTTGGCATCTTAGCCATATTTACCTTGAACAAGATAATGTCCTGAAAGCTACTCATTAAACTTAGAATTAAGTAATGCAACTGTAAAAGGTGGATAGTGTAGTGGGTCTTCACTTAATGTCATAAATCACTTTTTCCACCAGTATTTAGTCTAAGGAAATAGAATCTTCTTGAAAAAGTTAGTAAAAAAAAAAAAAAAAAATATATATATATATATATATATATATATATATATATATATATATACACATACATCAAGGAATGTAATTGAGCATGGACTTTGGTTGATCTAAGAAAACAACAAAAGCTCAAAAGAATTTCCTAAGATTTTAAATCGGGCAAGAGGACTACGATCTCTCTGATAATTAGACTTTCAACATATTTGGATTTACTAATTGGATCTAAGTTCTAATTAGACTTTTTTAGATAACTAAGAATGACATATCAATGAATGAATGTAATATGCTTTTATAGTTAAAACCTATAATTGGCGGCCCTTTCCAAATTATTTTAATACAGAAAAAGCTGGCTTTTTTTTATATTGTAACATCTCTTAAGACATATTGGGTACATTTTAGGTTCCTTAATTAAACATCTCTTGGGGACTCAAAGAGAAACTTGAGTTTTAATTGGAAGCACGGACATCTTTTATTTGTGAGGGAGACTTGCAACTTTGGAACCCACAAACAAAATGCAATAAGAAGAAATAAATCAGTCTTCAGGAGGAAGCAGCACAAGTAACTGGGTGTGTCCCTATAAACCATTCAGTCAATCAGAACAGTCTCCAAATATGACTAAAGGTCTGTTACATTTTTAAAATATGCAAATATAGAATAGGTTTCCCAAAGTGAAGGCTCGTGGATTTAGTATCAGAATTAATAGCGTGACATTTCTTCCCAAATGTGCATTACAGCATGTTCTTTACAGCTTTGCTACTTGAGTTATCTGCTAACTCAAGTCACAATATCTCTTTTTTTTCCCTCCTTATTTCTGAATTGAGAGTCATCAGTTTTTATCCTGTTGTGATTTATAAGCAGTGATTTTAAAACTGGTAGCCCTCAGACCTGGTTATTACAGCACATAAGAACTACATAAGGATGTAAAATTAAACCAGTATTTGGAGTGTAAAGAGCAGTGAATCACTGCAAGACTTGAAGGGAAAGGCTGCTGCCAAAATATTCCAAGGAAATTGATAGCACTGACAAAAAAGGCAAATTATATTGTTGTATGTACTGTGAATACTTGAGAACAACAAAGCCAAATACATGATTTTTTCCCCTCAAATAAAAGCAGTAACCCTTATAACTGTTATAAAAATTGTAGTTTTTTCCAATAAAAGTATCTAATTAAAACCATTGAAAGTATAAGACAATCTAACTTGTGCAATAATTGATATATTAAGAACAGATATTATACTAAATTATATGTGCTATTATCTTTCCAATTCAGTGCATTACCAGAACTGAATTATTGGTGTGTTATAATTCCTTTTAAAGTCCATGTCCTTAGTGAGTCTCCTAAAGCATGTTGGCTGCTGTAATATGCCATAAAATGATACTGAAAAGCAAGAAATAGATTTTCTGATTGCTTTGTTTACTATTAGAAAAGAAAACCTGTGCAGAACCCTTTCATGTACCAGTTATTCCAAGAAACATCACACAGTTTTTCAAAAGATTTAGGGAGTGGACTGTTGTTCAGGCAGGAAAGTGACCAAGCTATTTTGCCTTTCAGCTTGGGTGCTGGAATCCTGTCACAGGGCTGAATGGGTCACTAACTGACAAGAAACTAGAGAATAACATGCGAGGAGTGGTCCTACGTGTGGTGACCGTTCTGGTAAGTCTGCTCTGAGCCTTGTGGTTCTGGCTTCTAGAGGTTACTTTATCCTTCATTTCTTTATGTTTTATTAAGTGATACTATAATTTTAAAAGAGCTTTTTTTTTAATTTTTTTTAATTTATTTTATTTTATTTTATTTTATTTTATTTTATTTTATTTTATTTTATTTTTTTAAAAGAGCTTTTAACAAATCCTGACTATGCTTTCTAAGATATGTTTAATGGCAATATTTTCCAACCTTAAACTTGTATAGATGAGAATCAGATTTTTGAGGGCTTTACTTTTATTAACAGTGGTTTTGTCAGTAACTTTCTTAGACATTTTAGGCTTAATATGCTATACATAATAAAGGCCTCCCTCAGGCATTCTCTCACTGTAAGTATGCATAAGTAAGAGTAACCATGCCAAACAAGGGTAGAGCTGACCAAATGTAGTACACTTAGTAATACTCGAACATTGGCAGACTGAAACAATGCTGTCTAGCAAGAACCTACTTCAAAGGAAAGATCATCCAATTGTTCAATAAATATTGAGAATCAACTGTATTCAAGCTCAGTGCTGATTACTGGGGACCACTGATGAATAAAAAAAATGAATAGGGATCCCTGGGTGGCACAGTGGTTTAGCGCCTGCCTTTGGGCCAGGGCGCGATCCTGGAGATCCGGGATCGAGTCCCACGTCGGGCTCCCGGTGCATGGAGCCTGCTTCTCCCTCTGCCTATGTCTCTGTCTCTCTCTCTCTCTCTGTCTCCTCTCTCTCTCTCTCTCTCTGTGACTATCATAAAAAAATAAATAAATAAATGAATAAAGAAATGGATAGATATGATTCTGTCTTTATGAAGCTTACCATCTAGTGATTCTGTGAATATTAAATGGAATTATGTATGTAAAATACTTTTCACAATTACATTTACTTAGAAAATCAAATGGTAACTATTATCATTATTCTTTATGTTATTATTTTCTCTTCTAACCAGCATATAAGATCATGTGATAATAGAAATATTTTTAAGCCGCAAAATACTCACATGACTACTGTCTAAATAACTATAAAGCAGGAAAATATGCATTCTCCCTTGCTATTTCTGTGAGTTTAGGTTTATGCTACTTTATTGTCCATTTCAAGACATTCAAAGTTGTTAACATTATTTTTCTTCAGGAAAGTCTACTTGTTTTTAAATTTGAAAAAGTCTTTCTGCAGGGTAAATAAACTGCAGAATTAATAGATGGAAGAAACACAGCCTTTTTTTTTTATTGATGCCAACTGAGTATCAAAGTTTATAACAGCAATGGCTGCCCCTTGTACATTGTTTAATAAATACAAAGTAAGTAGACTCAACATAATTTCATTGTTTAAAAAAGATCTGTGTTATTTTCTATAAAAGTATGTTCAAATAAGTAGTTTATTTCCCCTTTTGATGCTATAATTTATTCCTAGTTCTTACTTCGATAAGATTTTTACTTTTTTGGTGAATAATTGTGAGTACTTGATAACGTGAATGTGGTGCTTCTGCATGTGCCCAAGGCTGTGGATATGAATTGCATTGATGTGCTAATATTAAAAAAAGACAGGCGTTTAAAGTGCAGTGAGCTATTAATAGTCTCCTCTCTAGCAATTAACGGAATCTCAGGAGACAACTTCAGTAAAAACGACATATGTGCATTGTTTTTGTCTTTGAGATTCATATTTCTAAGATAAGCTAATAACCTCATTTAGTCACTAAGCAAATATTTATTTAAGACTTCACTATATGATAGACTTGGTAACGGATATAAAATGAATTATATGTATACCTATTACATTATTTACCTATTACATAGGTATATGTATTCATCTTATAGATATATTAATACCTCAAAGTACACTTAGAATCTTGTTGGGAGATGCACATACAAAAAAGAAAACCAGGCAAGAACTATTAAGTACTTACTATATGCCATGTACTTTTTGAAGTTATTTGCCTGTATTGTTTTATTTAGTTCTTACAGTATTTCCAAGAAATAGATACTTTTCTGATTCCAAGGATGAGGAAGAGGAAACTGGGACCTCCAGAGGCTGGTTAGAAAAAAAAAATGTCGAGGATATACTGATAGTAAGTCGCAGAGAGAGTTAGGATTCAAGTAAGTAAGTTAGGATCTAGTAAGTCAAAGTGACTCCAGCCATCTTAATCTCTTCCCTCTTAACATTATAATATATTCTCTCTACTACTGTGGTAAGTGTGAGAATTGAGGTATCTATGGGATTTCATTTGGCTTGAGAGTTAAAAACTCTTAACTGTGATTAAGATGACAATAGGTTTTTTGGGAAAACTTCATATGGCATATTATTTTAAATTCTTTCCAGGCTGAACATAAAATGATATTATTGCTTCATGCAGTGGTAATGCATTCTTCTCCAGTTTCAGCTTAATGACTCATAATGGTTTCCGTGTCCTATAAGCTCAGCCCTACATAGATACCAAACATGTGACTGAGTGGAGATATGGACACAATATTTCCCCAGGTCTTCTGTGAGGAAATGTGGATTTATCCATGTATAAAACATCTTGACACTTATTACACTCCCACAATGTGCAGTCACTGTACTTCATAATTTTGGAGCCTTATCATTTTTTCCTGTAATTCCTGTTTGAATGAAAACCAGCCATGACCTTCCTATTTATTTCCCACAGTCTTCCAGGTCTACCTCTTACTTATATGGCCTTGCAAGCTTCTGTTAAGAATGCCACCCAGCAACTCCAAAATCTTGATGCCCACTAAACCCTGAAACTTAGATTTTGGTTTATATTGAACTTGATTTGGTCACATAAACCCCACTTCTTTGTGTTCCATGTACTTGCCTCCTGCACTCTCAAGAAGGGAGAAGAGGAGGGTTCATGTGTCAAGCCCCTGAGGGGAGGTCTCTCAGTCTTTATTCCATCCTAACTGCAATTTAGCACCAGTTCAATACATACCTCCTTTAGTTCTCAGGACATTTATGCTATAATGACATACAGGTTAATAAAATTGATTTTCTTTACCTAAGTTGTAAAACACCCATTCCGAACACTATTAATGATATTTTATTGACTTGAAATAAATAATCTGATACTTATTTTAAACTAAATAATTCAGCACCATGCTGTTTATGATCCTATGGGCAAATAAATAGTACATGCAAATGGTTAAAGAAAATCAAATAAAGGGATTATTAACAAGGATGTGAAAAGAGTTAAAGGGGTGTTGGTGCACGAGGCCTAGATGCACAGCAAGTCTTGACTACCCCGAAGTCTGATGGAATGTGGGGAGGGACTAATACTAAGATCTGGCAATAAGTAGAACCAAGGAGAGAAACCATTCAATAATAGCTGTGAAATTCCATACAGGAAGAGGATGGAGAAAGTCATGCCAAACCACAATCAGCCAATGAGGAAATGGAGAGAAGGGTTACCTCAATTTCAGTCCTTCTGTCTTTCCATCCCTTCATTGTCTCCCGTTGAAAATCTAACCAGAAGTCAAGAGGCAAGGGAGCCCAGGGTAAAGAAGACCATGAAGGTCAGCCTGCCAGCACACAAAGCAGGGCAGTGAAGAGTACAGTGCATCCAGAGGGGAAATAGGGAAAAACCAACACTCACATCTGCTATTTGGAAGGACCTGTTAAAAAGTTTACATGTGTTATTTAGTCCTTATAAAAACCCTACAAGAGATGCATTAATGACATTGGAAGGATGAAAATAGGGCACAAAAAATGTTAACTTACTTTCCATGACTACATAGCTAACAAGAACTAAATTAAGTTTCAAGTCTATAGAGATCTGGGTTCCAGAAGCCATGGATAAGGACATTGATATTCTGATCTTCTGCCTTAAGAATCATAATAAACTCTTGTGAAGTTTAAATTACATATAACTATTGAGATGTGAGGGTTCCAAATTTATGAGACTGACAATTTAGTAGCATTTTTTTACTTTTTTTTTAAATAGAAATAATAGAATAAAAACATATGGATGGCTTTATACTCAGCCATCATCAAAGCTACATAAATGTCTTAGAAATGGAGGAGGAGATGGAATGAGAATAAATTTCAGACCCTACAAGCTTACTCCTTTTTCTAGATATTTTTATTTTTATATTAGGCTCACTAATATCTAGTTTTTACTGAGTGGACCAAATGTATTATTACAAGGCACTTATTAGGATTTTTTTTTTCCTTTTAACCCTCAAAGTACTGCAACTATTGATAGCCATAAATGACCAATTATGTTATTCAATTTTTCACCAATTATGTAATTCACAAAAAGTTTTTGCAAACATCACTGAATTGTAAATATCATTATAACACTTATGAAAATATAATAGAAAGAAATTGGCAACAAGTGAAAAGGCTTGAGAAGTTATTCTGTACAAGATATCTGAAAAACATAAACTGGCATTTAGAAGGAGCTCACTGATTAATAATTCTTACTTGTTTCATTTGGTTTTGTTTAAAACAGACACATGGCATCTCTAACAAAACACGAATTCACTCATAAATTCATTTGAGAAATATTTATTGAGTACCTTCTTCTACGTGCTTAAGGTACATACAAAACAGACAAAGATACTGACATTTGGGAGTTCCATTCCAGCAGGGACTCTCAGAATATTTCTGAAAAAAAAAAAAAAAAGCAATACCATTGTCCTATATTAAGTATGCAACACAGTATTCCTTTGCCATTACTATAGAAATAATTATTTTAAAGATTTTATTTATCTATTTATGAGAGACACAGAGAGAGGCAGAGACATAGGCAGAGGGAGAAGCAGCCTCTCCACAGGGAGCCTGAAGTGGGACTGGATCACAGGACCCCTGGTTCATGACCTGAGCCAAAGGCAAACACTCAACCACTGAGCCACCCAGGTGCCCACCATAGAAATAACTTTAAAACATTGTATAAATATTTCATTGGAAATGTATGGTATGGTTCGTTCCCGGGTTTCGGCACCAAAAAAAAAAAAAAAAAAAAAAAAAGGAAATGTA